GAACCAGTAAATGAACCGGAACACGGTGAACCAGTAAGTGAACCGGAACACGGTGAACCAGTAAATGAACCGGAACACGGTGAACCAGTAAATGAACCGGAACACGGTGAACCAGTAAGTGAACTGGAACACCTGTAAATGAAGCGTTTATTTTCCAGGAACAGCTGTTCAATGGTCAGAACAGCTGTGAACAAACATCTGTGTTCAGTAAAAACACGCCACACACCGAGTGTTTGATTAAAAGCCGAGGTCGTGTCTCAGTCAGTGTTTTTATTGGACATGATTACAGCGCAGGTGAAAGGCTCAGGTGAGCAAAGCGGAGGTCTTCAGAAGTAGTTCACGATTCTGCGGATGGACTGGATGTTGGGGTTCTGGGCCTGCCACTCGTTGGGGCTGCAGTAGTTTCCACGCTCCACGATGTACATCCGACCCCGGAAGTTTGGCTCCTCGTACATCACCCAGCTGGAGGAGGAGGGGGAGGAGTTAATTGCAGGTAAGACAGGTAGGCCTGATTGGTTTTAGAGAACTGAAAGTTTTCAGAACCTCTGATGGACTCTGAAACCCTGAACATTTTATACCTGAACATAATCACCTTCAGTTTTTGGACACATGTCTAATCTTTTTATTACGTCATGTTGGTGGAGTGTCACTGGTCTAAACCATCCTAAAGGTCCAAACAGCGTCTGGTGCCTGTCAGACTTCACCCAGGGTTCACAGGAAGGACCGTGGTATTAATCAGAGTAAAGTGTTCAACCTTGAAACTGAGCTTTGATATTTTCAGAGACTGCTGGTCTTCTCATGTGAGCTGAAGACATCTTGAGTTCTCAGAGCTCTGCTTGTTGAACGTGTTCTCTGTTCACCTTATGGAACTGTTTGATGATGAAGAGGAACCTGAAGATGGATGTTTTCTGCAGAAGCTAACAGCTTGACCAACCAGCTGACTGGTTTATTGCAGGTATTCTCTAAAGATCTGGACTGCGCGGGTCTACACTCTGTAGTTTTAACATTTGTAAGGAAGATCTTGTGTGCAGGACTCACGCTCCGTCTCCGTAGACCCTGACAGAGTTGATGCAGTTCTTGGTGAAGCCCCGGCTCTGCAGGAAGGGACAGTCGTCACACATCTCCACACACTGACCCGAGAAGTTGCAGCTGTCGAACAGCTCGATGCGGTAATGCTCTCCGTGCTGGAAGACAGGAGGAGACAAGAAGATGGGATGAAGGTTCAAGCTGAAAGATGGAGGACCGTCACCAAAGTTCCTGCAGAGACAGTGTTTAGTTGGAGGGAAAGAGTTCATGGCTCCATCAGGACCTTGACCTTCATCGTCAGCCACAAACTGAGAGAAACTCATTAAAGTATCTTCCTGGTTTCAAACTGAATTCAAATAAACCTTGTTTTAACTCACACTGGAATCTGACACAACGTTCCCTGAACGTCCTGTTTTTAAAGATCTTAAACAAGAAAACGGAACGCTAACACGTTAGCATTATGTTCCAGTCAGGCTCTTTGTGAAGACGTGACATTAAAGACACATTACGGTAAATGAATGTTTCCATGTGTGTGAAAACAGACACATGAGTCGGGGCCATCGAGTCTGATAACAGACGAGAACCGAGGCTTCACATCTTCAGGACTTAACAAATGCAAAGGGTTCGTCCTCTGGAGAACGTCAGTGTGTTCCCTAAACTTATTTCAGTGTTGATGAACTGAAACTTGGTTTACAACAAACTTATGTCTCCTGTCAAGAGGAAGAGGTCTGAGAATGAGGGTCCATCCTCTGAAGAAACTCCATGAGAACCTGGCTGAAGGTTTCAGGTGGTTACCATGCGGACGGGCTTGCAGGAGCCCATGTGGTCGTTGTGGGAGTTCCACCTCTGGAATTCTGGGTACTCGCCGTGCTCCAGGATGTACTGCTGGCCCTTGAAGTCGGGGTGGTCGTAGCAGATCCAGGCTCCGCTCTCCACGCGGATGGAGTTCACCCTGAAAACACCAAACCACAGTTTCACAGTGAGCTTTTATTGTGAAAAACAGCAGGAAATGGGAGGAAACTCTTCCTCCTGATGAAATGAATGGACGCCAAGTTTCCCTAATGGTCCATGGATGAAGCGAAGACGACCAAAGTCAGTTCAAAGTGTTTCACCTGTTCATGAAGCCGCGGTCCTGGAAGTTATCACAGTCGCCTCGGACCTCCAGCTTCCTGCCGGTGAAACATTTCCCCTCGTAGAAGGTGATCTGCAGGAAGAGCAAGAGCTTCATGAGGACTTGTCCTCCACACGCTGGACTCATCGGCAACATAGAACATTTAGAGACGTTTTAAAGGTCTTACTGAGAAACGCTCCTCCTTCAGATCAAACATCTGCCAGATCAAACATCTGTCAGCTGTCGGATCAAACATCTGTCAGCTGTCAGATCAAACATCTGTCAGATCAAACATCTGTCAGTTGTCAGATCAAACATCTGTCAGCTGTCAGATCAAACATCTGTCAGATCAAACATCTGCCAGCTGTCAGATCAAACATCTGCCAGTCTTCAGATCAAACATCTGTCAGATCAAACATCTGTCAGATCAAACATCTGTCAGATCAAACATCTGCCAGCTGTCAGATCAAACATCTGCCATATCAAACATCTGTCAGCTGTCAATCAAACATCTGTCAATCAAACATCTGCCACCTGTCAATCAAACATCTGTCAGATCAAACATCTGTCAGGTCAAACAT